TCCTCCCCCCAAGGCGGGGCGTCCCTTTCACGAGGAGTTGGTCGGTGCTCCGCCCCACAACTGCTTGTGCTCCTGCTGGGGGCCAGGATCTCCGCTGGGCAGGGGCCCTGGGCCCAAGAGGCCCAGGGCCCTGAGGCAGCTGACAGCCAGCCGAAGGAAGGAAGGGGGGAGTGGGGGCGGGGCGTCCTGCTTCTCCGGCCGGCCAGCCTTAAGCAGATGAAAACTTCCAAGATGTAGAAATTGGGGTTTTTGAAGAGCTCCGTGACTTTGAAAGAAGGCAGTGTGTATAATACCCCAGTTTCCCTACGAAAAGGACGGAGGGCGGCTTCAGCTGCAGTTCCCTCAGCCCCGGACTGAGGACACAGCCGAGGCTCTGGGAGTGAGGTCTGAGGCGGCCAGAAGGGAACCTGTGGCCAGGCAGCCAGGCTGCTGCCCCAGACCCTGAACGGCCGAGGGGACTCACGGGCTGGCTACTGCCCCGGACCCCGGCTGAACGGCCCAGGGGACTCACAGGCTGGCTACTGCCCCAGACCCCGGCTGAACGGCCCAGGGGACTCACGGGCTGGTGGCTACTGCCCCAGACCCCGGCTGAACGGCCCAGGGGACTCACGGGCTGGCTACTGCCCCAGACCCCGGCTGAACGGCCCAGGGGACTCATGGCCTGTCTACTGGCCTAAGACACCGGCTGAATGGCCCAGGGGGTTTGTGAGCTGGCTGCTGCCCCAGACCCTGGCTGAACGGCCCAGGGGGCCTGTGGGCTGACTACTGCCCCAGATCCCTGCTGAACAGCCTGGGGGCTTACAGGTGGAGGTCTGCCCCCAGGGCCGGTCTGGGCCAGCCCCGCCCAGTGTCTTGTAACCCAGCTTCTCTGTCCGTGGCAGGGCCGCAGTATGGGACGGTGGAGAGGGCCTGGGTGGCCCTCATGGCCGAGGCGGAGCGAGTGAGCGAGCTGCACCTGGAGGTGAAGGCCTCGCTGATGAACGAGGACTTCGAGAAGATCAAGAACTGGCAGAAGGAGGCCTTCCACAAGCAGATGATGGGCGGCTTCAAGGAGACCAAGGAGGCTGACGACGGCTTCCGGAAGGCACAGAAGCCCTGGGCCAAGAAGCTAAAAGAGGTGCCTCCCTCCTGCGGGCTGGTCCCCACCTGCCTGCGTGGTGGCTCCTGTCCCGCACACTGGCCACCTTGCCACCCTGTCCACTACCCACCATGTGCCCCACCCACACCCCTAGGAACGCTGCCTTTAGGTGGGAGATGCTGCAGATGCCGGGGGAGCCCTCACCCAGACTCTGCACCGCGTGTGTGCGCTTTGATTTCAGCCTGAGGCATCCCGTCTCACAGACGTGGACGCTGAGGCTCAGAGCCACACGCTGTTGGCAGAGCTCAAAACCCAAGCTCTTTTTTTTGGGTGAAAGTTTACAGAGCAAATTCACTTTCCATACAGCAGTTCACATACACTTTGTCTCATGACACTGACCACAATCTCCCACAATGCA